AGGCATTTGATTGACATCGAAACTAATCGCACCATCGAGCGCTCCCCGCGCGAAAGGTTCATGATTTCTTTCTTCCGGTGATCTTCCATCGTTCTCATTCGAAATTCGGCCATGACTGCTATGACCACTTCCCCGTCGTCCCTTCTCTACAGCGGAGGCGTGAGGTCCTGATGGTGTAGCCGGACTGGCCACACGCTGTCGCTTCCGAGGCGACTCCTCTCGGAAACTTGCACGCTGGGATGTATCGGGATCACTGCGACGCCGCCTACGCAACTGAGGCTGTGCAGGACCCGGATTATCATCGGGCATGTCATTCTCTTGAACCTGGTTGCGGGCTTGTGGAACGCCATCGGGCACCCGATTATCAGGTACAGCGCCACCCTCTGCTTGTTGTTCCAGTTCCTGATCGCTTTCCTCTTCCTCTTCCTCCCGCTGTGCTCCTCTTCTATAGAGACGCGAGCGTGGATCGTGACCGAGACCATGACCCACGTTCTTGAGTTGTGCTGCATACCTGGCAATCATAGGATCAAAACGCACGCGATTCATCCTGTAGCGCTGGCGCCAGGATTGCCACGGGTGTCTTTTCGCCCACACTCTATATTCCGGCTCATCGGCCTTGGAAGAATATTCTTGTGAATTGAAACGCATATGCTCAGGGTTTTTTTACGTACCAGCTCCTCTGTCAACACCTGGTACAATAAATTCCCAGTGCGTCCCCCATCAGACGCTTTAGGCCATACAGTCGCAATGTAAAACGCGAGTCTTTCATCATCTTCTGCGGTAAAGGGTACGCGTCTGACGAGTGTATTAGCAAACGAGACGTAGGAACGGACGCGAAATGACATACACACGCCCAACTGGAGCACCGGGCATACCCTTCCTTGCTGGCCGACGATGTTCATATTTTCTAGCTCCAATGCATCGACGGACAAAATCCCTACACTCAATATAGACGCGCTGCTGCCAGAGGACATGTGAGCGGTAGTAGCGCCGGCGGATATGTTCGATGTCGGCTTCTTCATCGACCAAAATCACGTTGGCTTGCTGCTCATCCTCGCATACATCACCTCCATATCTCTACAACAATTGAATTGAATCAGCAATTGGAGGCTTCCACATTAAATAAGATAAGTTAGTCGCATACCGTGATCTCCTGTTCGAGTATATCGCGTCCTTCCCTGACACTTAGATGGAAAAAGAAGGCTACAGGGTCTCCGTCTTTCACAAATATAGCATCCTCGGCATTGGATCCAGCAGACCGGCTTCGTCGCGCAACATCTGCGGAAGGCATGGTGGTAGAAAGAATTCAAAGGAAGTAAAGCATTACCCGAAAGTGCATAAATTAACGAGCTGAGCTCGAAATTCGGAACCCCGCATTGTGGTTAGGGTTATAACCCTATACCTAACCCTTTGAATGCCCCAACTGAACTGAAAACACAGAATGTGGCTGACAGTGGTTAGATGTGAGGATAATGAGTGAAACTTAGTTAGATGCAATGATCGATGGCTTGTGGTATCTACTCAAATAAAAAATGTATTTCATCAACCCATCCTGTCATGCGACTTTGTATTTCATCTTTTTACCAAAGTTGCGATTATCTCATTTTGCTATAACATAACCATGTCCACACCTTTCAGTCTTATAGCACTGCAGAACCTGTTGATAGGACATGTATATTGGCCTGCAAAACCTGATGTACAGGACACTGGCCAGCCTATGCACCACCTGTGTAGGCTGGCCATGCAAAATCCTCGTAGGCTGGTGCCCCAGACACAAAATAATGTCTCTGCCATACCTATGTAGGCTAATGATGGAGAACTCCTGTAAGCTTATACCTCATATAGAGAATGTCATTTCTATACTATTTATATCAGTGAAACCAGCATATTAATGTAGATCTGACTGTCATATCCCATATGCCAGACATAGATCCCATCATATTCCCACGCTTTCCGGACCTGTTTCCGGACCCCATATCTGACTCATTCCTGGGTCCCCTATCCTGTCCACCCTATGCACATTCCATCCAGCAAGACATCTGGACTTTAACTCCTCTTGGATTCTGGACTATATCCACCACCTCACATATCTCAGTCCTGTTTCTGCCCTGCCTTCCAGATCCCCAGATCTCTGGACCTCCGGATATTAACTGTACTATCTCTGGACCTATTCCCACCCTCCGTCTGAGATCCTGCACCTATCCCCATTTAGGCATCTCTGCCTTTCCAGTTCTCGGTTATCTCTGTTTCCATCTTGCTGATTGATCCTTGTACTAGTTTCATCTCCAAGTTCATTTACATATGTTCCATCTTACTTACCAATGTGTTTCCGCATGCTTGTACATAGCCTTACTCCTTTGCTTACTGATCCTCTCAGATAGCCTCTAGTATACAGTGGCTCAAAAAACTGTCCACATGTTTTTGCATTTTTTACTATTTACAATATTGTGTGAGAATACATAAAGACCTCAGTGACATGCTAATACCATATTGTAGTGCTGCTTCAGGGCTTTGGATTGAGCACCACATCGTGAGAATCAGAGGAGATATGGTGGAGATACAAGGCTTACAAAATCATGACTCATGCGGACAGTTTTTTGAGCACATATTAAAACTATATAAATCATCATTTATGACACCATAACAATCATGCCACCATTAAATAAATTATAAAGTGGTGTCATTATGTCATTTTAAAACCATATCTAACTATACAAACCAAAATTTTCCATATGTCATGGTTATATTCACCATGAAAGCCACCCCCCCTGCTCAAAGGGATAATATCCTCTCTCTTTCCTATTCTGGCCTCTCTGCTTGTCAAATTTCCTCTAGAACTGGAGTATCCAAGTCCACTGCGGCCAAGTTCATCAAAGAAAGTCACACAGACAAGGAAAACTTCTGTGAAGGGTGTCCATCCAAGCTCACCTCTACTGATAGGAGGGCTATTATTCAACATATCACTACAGGAAAGGCTGATAATGCTGTCCAGGTCACCTATTACATCAATTCCACCATCACACTCCCTGTCACTTCACACACTGTGAGAAACATTCTCAAGACAGCTCATCTCAGGTCAGTAACAAGGAAGAAAAGGCTCTCCTCTCTATCACACATATGCAGAGATGACTAACCTTTGCCTTAGCCCATCAGAATTGGATTACATGGACTGGAAGCATGTTATATGATCATATAAGACCACAATAAATAGGATTGGGTCAGATGGCAAGGTATATATGTGAAAAAAGAAGGGTGCTAGTCCTCTCTGCATATGTGTGATAGAGAGAAGAGCCTTTTCTTCCTTGTTACTGACCTGAGATGAGCTGTCTTGAGAATGTTTCTCACAGTGTGTGAAGAGACAGGGAATGTGATGGTGGAATTGATGTAATAGGTGGCCTGGACAGCATTATCAGCCTTTCCTGTAGTGATATGTTGAATAATAGCCCTCCTATCAGTAGAGGTGAGCTTGGATGGACACCCTTCACAGAAGTTTTCCTTGTCTGTGTGACTTTCTTTGATGAACTTGGCCGCAGTGGACTTGGATACTCCAGTTCTAGAGGAAATTTGACAAGCAGAGAGGCCAGAATAGGAAAGAGAGAGGATATTATCCCTTTGAGCAGGGGGGGTGGCTTTCATGGTGAATATAACCATGACATATGGAAAATTTTGGTTTGTATAGTTAGATATGGTTTTAAAATGACATAATGACACCACTTTATAATTTATTTAATGGTGGCATGATTGTTATGGTGTCATAAATGATGATTTATATAGTTTTAATATGTGCTCAAAAAACTGTCCGCATGAGTCATGATTTTGTAAGCCTTGTATCTCCACCATATCTCCTCTGATTCTCACGATGTGGTGCTCAATCCAAAGCCCTGAAGCAGCACTACAATATGGTATTAGCATGTTCTTGAGGTATTTGTTCGTTCTCACACAATATCATAGATAGTGAAAAATGTCAAAACATGTGGACAGTTTTTTGAGCCACTGTACATGATAAAAAGGATCATTACCATGAACTTATGTGGGTGTCCCATATATGGAGGGATTTGATGAATAGAATATGGTGTAGGGATTTCATTTACTATGGGCTTGTATAGGCAGATATTACTTAGTGTTATGTTCACACTTTTGGTGCTTATGTGATCATCATAGTTTTCACCACCTACCAGTACCAGTCTGAGACTGAGAGTTATTAGCATGATTTCCTATCCTCTCTGAGCACTGAGCTTAGTCCAGAAACCCTTTAGGGTTGAATAGCAGCTAGGCATAGCACATTTGACCCAACTTTAGAAGGCTACTTTCCAGTTCTCTTCTTGTTGTGTTTCCCACAGCAGTTTGGCTTTGGACATGAGACAAACAGATCTCCTGCACCAGGGGATCTAGCTCTTTATTTTCTGGCATGTCCCCAACCTGGCATCAATTTATCCTTTTCTTGGAAGGATTCTTATGATGAGTAGGTTTCCTTATTAAAAATTGCTAAACAAGCTAATTTTGGTGGATGTAGTTGGTTGGTTATGCAAAGATATGTCATTGATGGAAATTTTATAGCACAACATATGAAGATGAAGACTCCAGAAGATGATGTTTCACTGGCAGATAGAAAGGGATACATGGTAACAGAAGAACCTTATGAAGCTCACATAACCAAATCTATCAAAAAGAATGAGGCAAGTTGTCATATTTCATGACATGTTTCCTTGGAAAATAACATCTAAGGTAATCTCAGAAATCACCCTGTAGCAATCACCATGCTGTGAATGCAACTAATATTCAGAGAAGCAATCTAAGAGCTACTGGTGTTGGGGCAACAGCATGTGCTAGGCATAGATGTTTTGTTCCTCATTCTGTAGTAGACTTTCAGAAAGGAGAATGGTATGTAGTTACATTGTTGTATTACTACCTTTGCTGACTATCTAGTCAGGCAAATGAACATGGACTATTGTATTTGCAATGCATTGAAATATCCATCAGAAAATATTGGCAATGCACTCATAATCTATGATGTTGCATGCCAGTGGAATGTTAACTTCCATGAACAGGTGGATCAGAGCTACCACCTGTCTCTTCCTCAATCAATCAAAATATTGCCAGCAATTGGCAAGTTTCATTTGAGTGCTCATAAGCTACCATGCTTTGCCAGATACAGCCTCAATTTTATTACAGGAGCTGGTCATATTGATGGGGAAATCTTGGAGACCCTCTGGGCCCCATTTAACAAGATTTCCCCCACTGTAAGATCCATGACTCTCTCTCACAGAAAGGAAGTCTTGGATGACCATATGAGGGATTCTAATTGGAAGAAGCTTGTTGGAATTGGCAAGTGCCTTTACTTCCAAAATGTTAACTTTGACTAATGTGTCATTTAAATAGTTAAATCATTACTGAAAAAGCATCATCAAGCTGTACAGGGTGTTAACTACACTCAGGGTCCATATGAAGAATTAACAAATTCTCTCAATTCAAATGATGTCCAGAAACAGAAGAAGCAAGCTGAACTAGCAGCTCTTGATCGTGGTGAGCTTCTTGACATCTATCAGCTTAAGATGGATAAAGGTAAGTTCAGTAAAATTGGACTTTGATTCAGTCCTCATTTCAAATCATTAAAAGCTCCAACCATGGCTGAAATAAGGCTGAGGTTGACTGAAAATGAACTGTCTACCAATGGTAGGACTGGGGCCATTTCATGGTTGATTGAGGTATAAGGATTACCAATTGTTTGATGCCAGAAATAGCCATTTCAACTCTTATCTTAACCACCATCAGCACACCATCAATGTTGGTCAGCATGGACATTAACTCCCTTTTCTCTCATCATTATCAACCCTCAGATCTCATTCTTTGTCACTGTCACCCCATTCTCAGTTCACCATCTCCAAATCTGTCAAATCTGCTATGCAATTCTTGTCATTATGTCTATAACATACCCATTTATATTAACACTCACTTACTCATTTCATACTCTCTTTCCTTTCTGTCTACCCTACCCTGTCAGGAGTGACACCACTCTCTTCAGCATCCATCTTCACATAATTGTTTGGCCTGTCAATATCCAAGGACCCTTAGTATTTCAACATATAAAAGTAGCTCATGTACACTCACTACTACAGGCAATCATACCAGTCTCAGTCTTGCACTCATTATCTAAATCACATCACTATATCCATCATTTATTGTCTCACACTCAGCATTATAGCACACCTGCGGTCACCACACCCCTTTGAACTTACAGTGAGAGCTATTTAGGTTCTTACAGAGGGTATCAATATAGAAAATGCTCAGTAAGATATTCAAGTTCACAAAATATGATTGACTCAAATTATATTACTAGAGACACCCTGAGATCTTCTATAAGACAACAGTTGGACAATCCAACTGCTCCTCAGAGAATCATCATAGAAGAAAAAAGACAGAAGCTCTTGTCTCAGATTCATAAATTCCATGAGACTACAATGGTTATAACAAATGGTATGGAATTAGAAGGGTGAGAGAGATTGCAACATGATGACCCTGAACTGTGCCTGGGGGAGGCTGAAGGACTTAATCTTTCAGGAATTGACGATATAGAGAAAGATGGTAATTTGGACCTTGGAGATGATGCTGACTCTCATCCAGGGGTTGCAGAACTTTGGATGCCATCATGGGAGGCATCTGATGTCATCATAGATGATGTTATCATGGCATTACAGCAAGAAGAACTAGAGCTTCAAAAGGGTCAAGCAAATGACAGCTTGGAAAAGCTTTGTCAAGCTCTTGGTGACAGATCTGTGATATTTCAGGAGAAATTGCACTCCAACAAATTGGTCCATTGTCAGGGTATTAGATTGACAAAGGAACTTCAAAAAATAGCTCTGGCCATCAACAAACATGCTCGAGAATATTGCTGATCAAGGGCAGCAATGCAGCAATTAGGGCTGATTCTGATACATTAGCATCATATCAAGCCCTAAAGGCTGAGGACCTTACAGTGAGCAAAGAAGTCACTGAGGAAAATAGGCATGGTCAGGGTTCTGATAGGCTGGCTTGGTTTTGGAGAATCAACAGTGCAGAGGACAGCCAGAAGAGCAAGTGGATAAATGAATGTGAGTTTTAATCTTATCTTATTTTTATTAAGGTACTGAGCTTATGTTCCCCATTCCTAGTTTATTGAGTGAATTGGTTGAAAGCAAAGCATGATATGATTGTTGGAGTGAAGAGTTGAAGTTAGTACAGCATGAAATGTATTGGACAGTACAGTGGTTTCAGAACCAGGAGTTGGAGTGGAGAGCAAGGGCAGATGAAAGTATTAAGAATGGGCATAGGGCATATGCTGAAAAGCAGGCTTCCATGTGGGCTGAGTTTGCAGCTGAGGGCATAAAGAGTTTTCAGGGAAAATAGAGCATGACAAGTTGATATTGAAGATGGCTTCATAATGTAATTACTTGACTTCTAAACATACCAGATGATGTGCAGCCAGCCCTATATTACAGGCTGCAACAGCAGGCTGGCCAATGAGGGATGGGTGGCTAGTCACTGTATACAGACTGCACAGCCTGTCTGGCTGACTGGGGTATAGGTGCCACCTATGCTGGCCAGCCCAGAGGTACAGGCTGCAACAGCAGGCTGGCCCATATGGAATATGGCACCATATGACCAGTTGTCCACCTCATACAGACTGCATAGCCTGTCCAGCCAACTAGGGAATGGCTGGCCCAGCACATCAGGCCACAATATAAGCAACAAAACTATTACAATGTTGGCATGATCAAGCTGTGGTTGATGTAGCATTCATGTAAGCAGTCCAGCTTAAAAGTAGCTATGACCATGCACAAAACAAGTTTGGTACATGTCACTGTCCAGCAAGCTGGGGTATAGGTGTAAGCCAGGTCAGCTGGCCCAGTATTACATACTGCACAGCTTGTCCAGCCAGCTGAGGTATAGGACACAACCAGGGAGGCCAGCCCTGTATTACAGGGTGCAACAACAGGCTGGCCCATGAAGGAATCTCACAACCAGTCTCCTCTAGTAGAGTAAGTCTGATTATTGTCATATCCGCATATCCAGATCTCAGATCTGACCCTTATCTCATCTCAGATCCACATCTTATCTCCGATCCTATCCACATCTTATCTCCCTCCAACATCTCATCATTCAATCTGTCCACTCATCCAGTCTGGTCCACAACCAGCACTCATCTCCTTTTGGTAACCCCCTAACTCTGGTATTTCAGTTATCTGTATATCTGTCCTGCTCCCTGATCCACTACCTATGTTTCATTTCCATTTCATGATTTGTGATCCATTTCTACTTACCAATAGACTATCCACATGCTTCGTACATAGCCTCAAACTCTGCTGATTGATCATTCCGTTAGATACCTATAGTATATAACCTCCTGTAACTTTCTGTAGTACCTCAGTTCGAATATCATCTTAGTTCTACTCATTCCTGTCCTCCAGACTTGAGTATCTCTACTCTCGTCACCCTCTGAGACTTAGGATTGATTCCTATAGTCTATCCATATCCGCCTCTGTCTCTGACAGTCTATTACCATTAGTTTCTAGTCTGGACTCATCCAGATTAGCCCTACAATACCTATCCCGCATCCAGAAGTCATCCAGATCCATTACAATACTCATCCAACCTTCCAGACACATTAGTCTTGCCTTCCCGAAATAAGGGGCAATACTTGGGTAAGGGGCACAGTGCACGAGCTGAGGCCAAAGCCCTTCAGATTCAGTTATCCCTTGAGTACGACCTTAACAATTATCTACTGTTCAAGCCTCACTCATTTCAGATGCTCACTTTCTATATCTATAAGTGAAAAAGTGGATCATTTCTGTGATGAGCATATCATTTTACAGAAACAATCCACTTCCTTTTGCTTATAGATATAGAAAACAACAGGCTGGTCAAGCCTATGTATTTCACTTATAAATATAGAAGGTGAGCATCTGAAATGAGCATCATGAAAATAATATGCTCACTACAAAAACCATTCATTTCTTTCACTCATAGACATAGAAGGTGTTGCACCCTGTAATACTGGGTTGGCTAGCCTGGCCATGTCCTATTCCCAAGCTGGCCAGACAGGTTGTGCAATATGTAATACTGGGCTGGCCAACTTGGCTTTCACCTATACCCTAGCCAAGTCTGATAAGATTAGCCAAGTCTGGCTGGGCCAGCCTGTTGTTACACCCTGTAATACTGGGCTGGCCAGCCTAGCTATGTCCTATACCATAGCTGGCTGGACAGGTTGTACAGTGTGTAATACTGGTCCAGCCTAGTTGCCACCTCACCCCAGCTTGTGGATAGGCTGTGCAGTCTGTATGAGGTGGACAACCGGTCATATGGGCCAGCCTGCTAATGCAGCCTGGACATCTGTGCCAGCCAGCATAGGTGGCACCTATACCCCAGTCAGCCAGACAGGCTGTGCAGTCTGTATACAGTGGTGATGTAATACTAGGCCAGCCAACCTGGCTTTCACCTATACCCAGCTTGCTGGACAGTGACATGCACCAAACTTGTTTTTTGCATGGTTGTGGCTACTTTTAAGCCTTAATATTCCTCACTTTGAATCTTTCTGAACTGCTTAATTGATTGCCACATCAACCATAGCTCAACCACAGTTTGATTATCCCAACATTGCAATAGTTTTGTTGCTTATATTGCAACCTGATATGCTGGTCTGGCTCACTAAAGCATAGATCACAGCCAGGGCGGCCGGCCCAGGACTGCAGGCTAGCCTATGTGGGCTGTCCATCCCACACAGATTGCATGGCCAGTCCAACTGACTAAAGCATAGATCACAGCCAGGGCGGCTGGCCCAGGAATGCAGGCTGCAAACACATGTTGCCCCATGTGGGATAGAGCATCATGGGACAGTTGGTCTGTGACTTTGTTTCCCTCATGGATATAGAAGACAGGCATCTAAGATAAATGAGGCTTAAATGGTAGATGATCTTAACAGTCATTATGTAGTAGAGTAAATTGAACTGTCTATCATTTGAGTCTTGCTGTACACCAGTCTGTATGGGGTAGACTGGCACAGTATATTACATCATTGAGAAGCTCATCAAAAACTCCATTTCACCAAAATTGTAGCAGGAAGCAGCAATGCACAGGAAATCTTTCTTGACTGCAGCCTCAAAGTGATATTAAGTGCATTTTCTATACACTACAGGAAAGTAGGCCTAATGCACCATAGGGTTGAAGTAGGCAGGCAGGCCATGTCATACACACAGGACAGGGGAAGCTTGGATATTGGCCCAAAAACAATGTCCAGCTGGCCAATACCCCTCCTCAAAAAAACACAGATGCAGCAGGCTTTATCATCATATGAGGAGAAGGAGGCTGGCCCATTGGCTCAAATGCATTATTCAGCCAGCCAACACCTTCCCACAGACTGCAGGTGCAGCAGACCTGATGCACCATCTGGCAGAAAGAGGCCAGCTGGCCAGGGCATACACACTGCCCAAGGAGGCTGGCCCATTGGCTCAAATACATTGTTCAGCCAGCCAACGCCTTCCCACAGACTGCAGGTGCAGTAGACCATCTCCTGCAATGGTTCTGCACCATCAGCCTATACAGGTTGTGCAGAGATGTCATTCTTTGGATGAGACATCAGCCTACCAGGGTTCTGCATGACTGGCCTACACAAGTAGTGCATAGGCTAGCCAGTGTCCTGTACATCAGGTTTTGCAGGCCAATGTACATGTCCTATCAACAGGTTCTGCAGTAGAAGTAACTGAAGGGTCTGCTGTGTCAGAAAGATATACACAGAATGTCCATGTCCAGATCCAAGGCACTGATTCCCAAAGACTGGACATTCCTCACTGTGGATAATGATTCCAATCAAAATCATTAGAAAAAGTATTGATACTGAAATTTTCATTGGAACTTCTACTGAAATGGCAGGTAGTTAATTTCATTGGAGCACTGGATCCAATTCAGCACCAGATTTCAGCACCATTTTCCAATGAACCCAATTCAGCACCACTTTCAGCGCTATTTTCCAATGAATCCAATTCAGCACCAACTTTCAGTATATTTACCAATGAATGTTGTAAATAGCTTACAACAATGACTTGGTCGCTAATAATTTTTTGGCAGGAGAAGGGTGGTATTGGAAATGTAGTTGAAGCTATCAAGGATGCTATGGCTTAGTGGTAGTGGTGCTGTGGACTTCAGGCCTAATGCCTAAGGTTATCAGTTCAATTCCCGCCACACTGAGTTGTGACAGGTCACAGTGACCAGTCACGATTTTTTTGTCATTTTCAAGCAGAATTTCAGCACATTATTTCAGAGTAAAATTCGGAACTTTCAGCACCTTGATTTCAGCACCTTGTACTGTGAATTTCATTGGATTTACTACTCACAGTGGTATTGAATATGGAGGTGTGACTGCTAGTTCAGGCTCGAGACCAATCAAGTGGCATTTGAAGGTTCACCACCAGTATGGTCTGACGTCGTCTGGAATGATCTGAGTCACTACTCACCATGGCAAGCTTGTGGTGATACATGCTCATTTTCTGCGGTGAGGATCATGATTGGTGATGGATCAGCGTTATGAATCACATACATCCTATCTCACGCTCCACCAACTGTAGGTTTTCACTGCAATGACTCGACAAACTCAATGACAACTAAAATAGACAAAGTACACGACGAGTATCCAATGTACATAGGGTCACCGACTACAAAGATCATTGTAAGAAAAGATGTGTATATATGGTATCAAATATCAAATGGCAGCCTCCTCAGGCTGGTCCCTACATTCGTGCCACGCCGTGCCGTGAGCGACACAGCTCAAGTCTAGCTGCAAAGCATTGTTGGGTATCACCAATGCATTATCTCGGGCATACGTCGCGGGGTGGAGAGTGGGTGGGATCCAGAGGAGAAGCGTCCTTCGGGACCTACAACCCATCCCTCCTCAGTTGGGCCTGAAGGGGCTGGGGTTTCTGAACCTTGGAGAAAGGAGGAGGCGGAATGAAGGGCGTGATTTGGGTCGGATGAGAAACATATTGCAGGTGCTTCAAAGGATTGGTCCCGGTTAAGAAAATCCTCCAGATCCCACACCCGAATGGAATTGTCGTCTGAACCAGACACGATGTATTTGCCGTCGGGCGAGATTGAAACAGACCAAATAGGTCCAGTGTGTCCTCGGAAAGGGGCGCCCACTGCCTCGTGAGTCCCCATATCCCATACCCGGATGATCTTGTCGTATGAGCCGGACACGATGTGACGTCCATCTGGCGAGATTGCGACGGATGTAACACTCTCAGTATGCCCCTGGAGAGGAGCATCCAGTGCCTTGCCAGTCACCATATCCCACATCTGAATTGTCTTGTCATCTGAACTAGACACTATGCAATTTCCGTCTGGCGAGATTGCAACAG